AGATTGGGCTTCTTAACAATGTGGAAGGTGTCTCAGGCTTACAAAAAGTCCCTTACTTCAYATTTGTCAAGATCATAGACTACCTGCAACTGCTACAAATAGGAATGTCAAATATAAATGTCAGTTTTAGGAGATATTGAYAGTTATGGGGAATGAAGAGTGAGTCTTAGTAAGGTAAAAAACTCAGTGACTACTACAATGAAAAAAAGGAGAGGGAACATTAGAAAAGGTATCRGATTATCCTTTGGTTTTTAGTCCCAGCTTTATGCTGGTCTAAATAGACAGCAGTATTTGTCAGTTTATTTTGTCAACTACAGATCTTCAAATAGAGAGGCACAAAAACCAATATAAGATGGTTAAGCCTTTCCYGTGATGAAAACTGCTGGCATAAAAAAGCTGATTCCTTGCACCAAAGTGTTTTAACTTAACTAACATTTTAGCTAGGATTTAAAAAAAAAACCCAACAACAACTACAACAAAACCTAAAAAAAAACCCCAAACCAACAAAAAAGGAAAAAACTTATAAAAAAGTATAGAAGAGAAACAAATGAACAGTATTTAGACCTTCTGCAAGGATGTTTATAGACAAGATGTTAGTGAAACCAGATCACAGACAATCAATATATCCAAATACCTGTTCATGTTCAACACTGCTCAGTAACTGCAGCATGCAGGCAACCCGAACCTTTCAAGAGTTACTCCAGGCACTAGTCTGAGCCTGTTCAGCTAAACCTCACTTCATCCCTATTAATTCTCCTCTTCAAAGTCCCCTTCCATTTGCTTTCCCATCTAACCACACCCCACTCAGCTCCTCTCCTTATCCCATCTGCTGTTCCTTCTCATCCCTTACTGTATTTTCCTTTGTCATCCTCCACCTCCCAGATACTCAGACGAGTGTACCAGGTCACTTTGTGCCACCATTTCAGTAGGTCAACACTCTTCCCCTTGGTTCAAGGGAATCAGGCAAACCACTGCTCAAACTCAGTGCACAGCAGCGCTGGAGGGAGATGTTTCCAAGCACAAGTGAGAAACACAGGCCAACCAAGGTCTTATTCTAGTTTTATCCAAAGATCAGAGAAATTGTGAAAAAGTAGATCTATGTTTAAACATAGGGATCTGGCAAGAAAACTTCAGCCTTAAGAAGTCCTCCCTCAAATAACCACAAAAAAAAAAAAAAAAACACCAAAAAACCCAGGGGGAAAAAAAATTGAAGGCCAAAATAAAGATTAGCAGATATTTATCTAAGGGGGGGAGAGGACACCCCAAACAACAAAACAAACCCAAACCCCAGCAATCACCACAGCTCAAATRGGACACTAAGATCAAAGAGCTACCATTACTAAAACTAAATAGGAAAAGCCCTTTTTGGTTAATTAAAACTATGTTGAACTGTTGATTTAAGGAAAAATGCTCAGCTGAAAAGGCAACTAGCTGCTTTAGATTCATGGCAGCCTTTGATATTTAATATTAGCAATAAGCATGAACCCATTTGGAATAAACTACTGTTTTCAAAGTTATGTTAATTCCCGTTGACTTAACCCAATACAGCTTAGCATATCTCATTTGGAAAAAGCATGCACCAAACAGGTTATGGCTCAGGATCTTGAGGGCCATAAAATACAAAGTCATCCTTTAAATTCTCTTAATAGAGGATCTGGCAAAACTTTTCGGTTTGAATTAACTTCTGTTGAAATATTAAACTTTCAGTTTTACTGTGTGTTTTACCTCCATTCCACYTACCACTGCTTTTCTGTCATACATAAAAATCACATCATAATCTGCCCAGTTTCATAAAGTAAGATTTTTCTTGTTACATTCTGATCCAATACAATCTAAGCAGTATGTTATAGATGTCACGCTCTAGGTGTGTCACGGTCTAGGTGCCTGGTACTAGGTTCTGGTTCTAGATGCCACATTTTAGGTGTCAGGTTCTAAGGAGCCAGGTTCTAGTTCAGACTTTATGTTCGGGTTCCAGGCACCAGGTTCTAGGTTCGGGTTCTAGGTATCATTCCGGATACTAGGTTTGCATTCTAGATGTCAACACCACGGTTCTAAATATTGCCACACCAGGTTCTAGATATGGTTATGTCGATCTCCGTTCTAGATCAGAGTCCTAGGTGCCGACCTAGGTTCTAGATCTGTGTTCTATGTGACTACCTCGAATTCTAGATCCAAGTTCTAGGTGCCAGCCCTGGTTCTAGACTCTGCGTTCTAGGTACCTACCTCGGGTTCTAGAGCCAAGATCTGGGTATACTCCAGTGTTCTAGGTGGCGATACCTGGTTCTAGATCCCACATTCTACGTGTCGACCCCCCGGGTTCTAGATCCCACGTTCTAGATGTCGACATTCTAGGTTTGGGCTCTAGGTGTCTACGTTCTASGTGGCCTGTTAAGTGGTGTGCTGGAGAAGCTACAAAGTAATCCTCACYTGATGCACAGACCTGCGAGGAACTTGCTATGATAAAGACAAAGCTATGAAACAGCACAAAACAAAAAATTCAAAGCACAGTTGGTAACTTTTGCATTCCTGACACAACCAAAATATTCAATTTTAGCAAAACAAGTGCCAAAGTACTAAGACAGACTTAAAAACAACAACAAAAAAAAAATCAGGAATTTCATATACGGATGCTAGCTTTCTGATATATTTAGCTGTTTTCTTAGAAACTCCTGGAACTGAGCAGCATGGAACAAAAATAACCAGAATGATTTTGACTTTTTTCCTTGCAGCTTTCTTTCTCCCTGCCAAAGCATTCAAGAAAAGGACAGTCAGTAGGCTCTCAGCCTTCCATTAAAGACTAAGTTTGCATCTTAGCTAGCCTATGATATTATACATTAATCAATTATAAAGGTATATTTTATCCCCCAAATGAAATTAATGCTTTGTAGTAGTCAACAGAACAGAAACATGCAGGCTGTTTGCATGGTTTGGATATGCTGACAGCTTTTACATCCTAGAGTTTAAGACAAATAAGCAAAGCTATCTGGTACATTACAGATTCATTATTGCATAGAAGGAATTAAATTAAACAGCAGTATCACTTCAAACTTCTTTATAAAGCCTGTTTCATAACACTTGATTTCAGACTTCACAAATAGTGCTTTACATTTTGAAGTTAACTGCTTCAATTTTATCCAGGTAGTGCTTTGTAACACTAAAAAACCAACACAAGAAGTTTTACTTCTAATATTGGCAATCTAGATTTTCATTTTAATAAATGTGTTCAACTTAGACACTTTCYACACCCCTGAAGAGTTGTATCAATCAGAAAACTTCAATCAGCATCTGTCACTTGCAGCATATCTACTTCAGAGGGCAACAGTGAACCACATACCAATTTAAAAGTGATTTCTAAAATCATCTTAAACATATACTACTTATGCAGTTCTAATTTTAGTATTATCTCCTGCCTCAAGACTAAAGTTTCCATAGCCACAAAAGTAAATTTGTGATAGAGTTACTATCTTATTCTTGGACYATACACTCAGGTTTGCAAATTCAAAAAAATGAAATACTTCCCTACTTCAAAACCACTTCTGAAACATGGATGAATTCACAATCAAATCTGCTACTTAGCACTGCTGACATGATCACATATTAAAGATTCAAACAAATACAACCCTTGCTTATTCCTGAGGAGATTTGYTCAGCTTAGGCATTTTTGCTTGGCTTTATTAGAATCTTTAGAGAGTTTAGCTCCTCCTTCCCTAATGAGAGATTCCTGTAATATCTTCTTACAAATATAAAGGTTTATTTTTCCTAGGCAGCAAACGTAATTTCTACTACTGCTGTACTGCACAGCTGTCTCAGAGAAGATCCACGGGGCTGACTGTTTCATGTCATTTCTGGAACAACAGCTGCCCCATATGGTGCTGTGCAGAACCCTGCAAGTTTAATAATCCCATTCCTGAGGGTCTCCTCACTTTTCTGCAGCCAGCTCGACAGCAAAAAAAAAAAATTCTTGAATTCAAGAAGAGTATGGATTACACTGATTATTGTTTTTGTATGCATTAAAGGATGTCAGGCTAACTTTTTTCAAGTGAATATATTTCACACAGGTGTGCGAGGAGGAATAGCAAGATGTTTGTTAATTGAACAAAGTTTTGAATATCATGAGGCGTTAGGCAGCGCTGCGCGGCTCCAGCAGCACCACGGGAGTGCCCGGCCTGACAGGAGCACCCCGAACCTGTTAACTTTTCCCGGGAATTCCCGCAGAGCAGCACTGCAGCACTCCCGGCCGAGCAGGAGATGCCTCACGGAGCGAGGAGTCTGTGTGGTACCTGCGAACAATCTGAGCAGCACAGACGTACTTTCCCATGAGTCCAAGGAAAGCAAATTGGGAACACCGAGAGCTACGCGACAAGGAACGCCGGTCTAATGAGTTCACAGCTATAACCCTGCACAGSCAGAGTATAAATTACCCACGTCTAGCCACGGTGATGTCATATGCACACAATCTCTGTAATTCTTAATTCCCTTACTCCCCACACACCCTCTTCCTTCCTCCTGTTCAACAGAGACTGGAAACGCAGCAGCGCTGCGATCTGCCCGAACGCCGCCACCGAGTCACGACTCCATAGCCAAGGAGAAACGAGCAGCCAGACTCCTCCACCTCAGCCGGGAGCTCCCGTGGGYTCTGCCACGTTCCCTCCCCGCTCCCTCTCTGCGAGACCCGGCCAGGGCCGGGCGTTCCCGGTCAGGGGAGGCGCCCCTCGCTCGGGCGGAGAGTCACCGAACGGCCCCAGGCTCGTCCCGCGGGCGGAGGTGCCGGCCCGAACCCGGAGCTGCCGGGGCTGTGCCGCGCCGTGACAGCAGCGGGGAACTTTGCCTGGGGCGCGGCGCGGAGCGAGCCCCGCGGGCCCACGCTACCYCCGCCGCCGGACAAAAGGGCCGCACCTCGGGCCGCCAGTGCCCCCCGGTACCCGCCAGGGCAGAGCGGGGGACACGCGGGGACAGGSATGCGGTGCCCGGCGCTCCCCGGCCGCCCGCCCGCCGCTCACCATCCGGGAACTCCCGGTCGCTAATGTGCTGGAGGTGGGGGCCGCCGCCGCCGCCGGGATCCGAGTCCCCCGACTCGGCCTCCGCCGACCCTGAACCGCCGCTGCCGCCGCCGCCGGCTACCGCCGCCGGCGCCTGATAGGCGTCCGCCCAGCGATCGGGCCCCGGCACTGCCCCGCCGCCGCCGCGGGCCCGGCTGAGCTTGGGGCTGGCGTCCGGGGATACGCAGCAGGTGACGGTGTTGCCCATGGAGCTCGGAGCTCCAGCGGCGGGCCCCGGCTGCGCGGCTCCGGACTGGGCCGGGGGAGGGGAGGCGGGCACAGGGCGGGTTGGAGCGCGGGGCGGGCTCAGCGCCGCCGCCGCCGCCCCACGTCTCTTAGCCATAACTCAGCCCCTCGCCTCCGCCAGGCGGGTCGCTGCCCTCCTCCAGAACCTGTCTTGA